ACCACAGGGTGTAGAAAGAAAGACGCAGGAACAGCCCCAACAAAGTCTCTCCCTAAGGAGGCACCCAGCAGGGAGAGGGGAGAAACAATGGTGGGGGAGGGGCGATCAAACCTCCTACCTCCCTTCACACTCCTCACAACCTTCTCTCACATACAAGGAGGCTGGATTTCCGCAGGTTTTGAGGAGGCTGTGGCAGGAGCTGGGCCTTCTGGGTCTTGCCAGGGTCCTCAGCCTGAATCTAGGGTGGCCTGCTGTCCCCCAAGTCCAGACTCAGGCACCCGGGATTCTTTCACCGCTCTGGCCTGCAGGTCTGGAAGCCTAACCGTAGGCCGGAAATCCCCACTGCCAGGCTGCTAGAAGTCAAGTTAGACCCTCCATTTCTGGCCTAGGGAGGAGGGAGAAAGGACAGGTACTTACAGGGTAACCACCTTACAGGAACTGGCCCCATGGGTGGGCTGAGCTTATGAAGGTAACAAGACCCAGAAGTGAAGGTAGTGAGTATATGTGTGTGCTGTAAGTGGGGTTTGTGAGTTTGTACCCACCCTTCAACACAACATTGGTATCCCTTTACTCCTTTGAAATCACCCTCTTCCTACCACCTTCATCCCACATGCCATCTTCAGGTTGGCTCTGAGCTCCTTGGAAAACCCCAGCTGGCTCCAGTATGGAGAATAGTCTTTTCCTATCAGATTCCCCAGAATAAGAAATCCAGGTGAGGGTGCCAGTGGGGAGGGTTCCCTGGGCCAACCAGGCCAGGATGAATAGGAAGCAGGAAGTATTGAACCAGTCATCTAAGCCAGGCAGGGAAAAGTGGTGGCAGCTCCTGCCAGTGACCTAGGCACAGTCTTGTCCTGAGATTCCAAACACTGCAGATCAGGAAGGGCTAACAGGCCCTGGGAGAGAGCAGGACTGTGGGGCTGTGTGGGAGGGGGGAGAGAGAGAGAAGAAATAGGTATAAGGGGAGCAGGAGGAGCAAAAGTGAGCAAGGGGATGTTTCCTCCTGCGTCTGAGCTGAGGGGCCCTCAGGGCAGCTCCAGGGCCACAGCCTCCTAGCTGCCCTGCAGCGTTGCTCTGCACAGCCCCTAGGGAGGTTCCTGTTTAGTAGTTTCATGCACCTGAAAGCTACCTTGCCCACCCACAGGATACGCAACACCACAGCAAGGCACCCATCTGAGTGCCTGCCAGTCTAGGGCAAAATCCACACCAGCCTCACAGTGGGAGTGCAATGGGCAGCCAGTGCTGAGGAGCCCACACAGTCCCCAAGCACAAACGCAGCCACACAAAGGTGCTATTATAGTTAACAGGTTGAGCCAGATTCTCCATGTACCACGCACCCCACAATACAGGGCCTCTGGGACCCTCAGCCTGACTGGGTTCCTGGGGCCCACAGGCAGTTACCCCCTCAGCCACAGCACCAGGTCTGAGCGGCAGGGCTCGCTGGGTCTGGGGAAATCGGTCAACACAGTTGGCTCACTCAAGCCAAGGAAGGAAGCAGGCCTTTCTGCCCAGACAGGTTTGTTAGTCTTTCTCTTTTGAACATCAACACAATTATTCTGATTTGTTCCTTTTATATTTTTGAAGGAAGATTGGTCGTTTCCGGCAGGGGCCGTGGAAGGTCGGAGTTTCACGCTTTCTGTTGCTGGTAGTCGCCTTGAGCATGACACACAACCCCAGCTCCCTTTCAGCCTCCGCCAGGCTTCCTACGGAGCGGGCGGGTCAAGCCGCCCTGGCAGGCGTTCGGCGGAAGCGGGATTCGCTGGGATTCCGTCCCAACGAATTCCAGGCGGAGAGCAGAAAGTATGCCACAGTCCCTCGGCGCCAAGGAACCCAGCGACCCCGGGAGTCTGACACCCCTGGGAGGCCTAGCCTAGGGCTTGGGAGCTCCGGAGACCCCCAGCCTCAAGAGCGCCCCACCTGGACCGCAGGCGGGCCGCGAGCGGGGGAAGCTCAGCGGCCGCCAGCCCGGGAGCTCCGGGCCTCAGCGCCAGGGATGATCCAGGAATGTGAAACGCAGGCTTCAGCGCGAGTCTTAAGTCCCGGACAAGCTGGGCAGAATCTGAGAGCAGCGGGTGCAGGGCCTGCATCTGCATGGTCATAGAGTGAGCCCCAGGCTGGTCCTAAAGATCCGGGACCTAGGAGGTACTTTCGGGGCTGTGTCCTACTCTGCTTGAGTTCTCTCTCCAGAAAGGGTGCGAGTGGGGGTAAAGCGCTCAGGCTTTGCAGCCAGTTTGGGGCTGTCGTGCTTGGGCTGGGCAGCAGCTCCCTACCCCTAACCGGCTCCCCTATTAGTCTATAGCAAGAAAACTTTTGGGAGCTCTGGACACAGCAGGCTCTTGAGGCGGTCCGGACTTCGGGGGAATTTGGAGACCGGAGCAAGGGCCCGTCACCCCCGACTCTGGGTTGGTGCAGCCAGGAACCACCGATCATGCGTCCAAAAGCGCAAACGGAGGACGGAAAAAGGCACCGACTCAGGGGCTCCAGTCGGGCGAGAATTGAGAGGACAGCCAGACATGCTCAGGTAGGAGATAAATTTGGAGATTTGGGGAAGCCATTTCCTGATTTCGTTCGTTGTCCTGGCTCTGGGTGCGGCAGCCGCGGGAGACTTGATGCAAACCCCGAGATGCCGCCCAAATCCTCTCTTCATATGGGCCCAGTGGGCTTGTAGGGCTGGGGCTGGGAGTTCTGCCAAGTCCTTTGAATCAGAACCTTTCTTTCTTGCTGAGGCCCAAGGGGGGGTGGATGGGAGTGGATGACCAAACCTGCCCCGCCTCGGCAGAATTTCTCCCTTCCTTGGGTTGGAGGTGGCTATACTCTGTATCACAATCTTCCAGGCAAGATTGAAGGACAGTGGCTCTGAAGGTTCAGGTGGCTTCCCCTACCCTGAGTCTCTGTGCACACCTCTCTAGACCCGTGCAAGCGGCACCCCCTACTAACTTTTAGTTTCTAATCACAAAGTTCTCTTACTCTTTCATCCCCAGAAAAAGCCTCTTATTCTCCTACTCCAACTCACCTGTAGAATGGTGAATTCTCCAGACTACCCACTACCTACCTTCTTCCAGAAAAGCAGACTCAAGTCATCTAGGATTGGTCTGATAGGTCCGGGGCAAGATGTTATAGGTATGCAGTACTGTGTCTCCTGTTCTAGTCCAAAAGTGGTCTGAGTGGCTTCCTGGACCGATGCCCCCATCAAGTCACTTTTTTAGATCCCTCCTAGGCCAGGCTAGTGCTGGGAGGTCCCACTTAGAGAACCAGGGAGGATCCTCACCCTACTTCCTGATTCTGTGTGTCCTAGTATCTACAACTTGCTGGTAAGGGCCTAGTACCCCAGAACTCCTAGCAGACAGATGCTGGTCTGTGCACTAGACGCCCACCTGCACATGTACGGCCAGTGCACAATTACACCCACTCACACAGCCACACTTTCACCTTTAGGGACATTCTCTCACTATGATCCACACTCCTCACTCTACATAGTATTCACTCTCCCAATTACATACTGTCGCACACAAGTAAACACAGTTAAAAATACACAGCTCACATGTGATTACATCTTGAGTGCAGTTACCCTCAGAAAATTAAAGATGATCCACATCACAAACATTCACACATTTAACAAATACAGATTTACAAAGAGAAACTAATACATATTCTCACAGATATTAACAGGGTTCATGCACAATCACAAAAATGGGTGATCACATAATTATGCAAAAAGACTAGTCACATTCATACACGATTGGTTATATACACACCACTACAAGCCCATGCATACAGTGATAGTTTTGATTCGCAACTTAACCAAAAACAAACATTTAAGTGCAAGAATTGTAAACACAATTTACAACACAAACACCATTACAAACATTCACTATCAGTAACATTCTGATTGCCCACACCATCACAAACGCATAATTCTCACACCCAAAGAAATCCACATCCTCTCAAGCACTAGCAATCCCAGCCTCTTTCTCCTCTACTCTGTCTTCTGTCTCCATTCTTCCTCCTCTCCTTCTTTCCTCTCTCCAGAGCCTGAGGGTCCAGTCCACCCTATTTCCCTAAAAGCTCAGGTTCTAGTAGCTACCTCCAAGCATACCAAACTCAAATAGATGAAAAATGCCGGGCTCAGCAAAGAGCAGGCAGCCCTGACTCCGGATCTGGAGGGTTTTATTATTTTTCCACATAAATTACACAAGCACTTTATAAAATGGTTACACAGAAAACACCTTATAAGTGCATAACTTAGCCCTCCCCCTCAAACAGGATCTGGAGTGATGGGTTGTGTGAAAAACCTGTCTGTGGTACCTGGGTGCAGCTGGGACATGTCGTAGGAGCCTGGCAGGCTGAATGAGGCTGTTGTGGCTGTCTTGTGTGGGAGTGGTAGTAGTGGCATGTCACAATGTGGCCATGGCCTTGTAATTGTGTGTGAGGGACCAGTGCCATGCTATTCTGAATTAGTCTGGGTGGATCCCTCCTGCCCATGTCTGATAGTGAGCGTCAGAAACGGTGTGTGCATGACACTTTGCCATAGATCCCCATGTGGTTCTGGGGTGACACAGGAGGGATGGTGACATTTATTGCCTTTGTGTGGGCCTATGGGTGTCTGTGTGTGATGAGAAGTGGAACACAGAAAGGGAATTTCCCAGGGAAAGTTCAGATGGCAGCCCTGGGGACCCAAGAAATTCTTCCTCCCCAATGTCCTTTGCCTCTCTTTTGGTCCCACATTAAAAATTAAAATGAAATAGATAAAAACTGAGAAGATTAACAGTTCCAGCTGGACACATAGGTAGCTAGGAGGGGATAGAAGGTCCCTATCCTGAGCCCTCTTTCACTAAAGAGAAAAGTGTCATCGCGGCACCAGTGCTCAGGCCTATGTGAGAGTTTCGGTGTTCCCCTCCCTCGTGCAGTCAGTCCAAGGCAGGAGGGATAGGGAAGAGTCTTGGCTCTCAGGCTTTGGCGACCCCTGACTAGGTCTGAGGTCCTGCAGGACAGAGCGGGCAGGCTCACTCACAGGCTGACGCCACAGATGTGACACTAGTAATCTTAGTCGAGTCGTCAGACCATGGCTGCAGATTCTGCAGGGCGAAGAGCGAAGAGTTGTGCACACACAGTGGGTCGGCGGGCAGTGGCTGTGCCAGGCTCTTCTGGAATGCCTCCTGCTGCAGCTGCAGAAGGATGCGGTTCGCCTGCTGCCTCTCCGCCTCTCGCTCCTCCGCTGTCTGCCGTCTGCACCAGGAACAAGCCGTTACCTGCCAGGGCAGGGACCCAGCTCCCATGAAAGCCCCAGCTCCTGGTGTGCTCCTTTTTACAGCCCCCACTCCAGTTTGGACCCCTTTAACAAGCCCCCAAAGTGAATGGAGCTGAGGTATCCCAGAGGGACAGTGGGAAAGTTTGAGAGGTCCAAGCAGCTGGGACACCTCAGTTACATATAGCATTCACACTGCCACCAGCTTTGCAGGGCTCAGACAGAGGTAGGTTGGCACCTCACTTCTCCCCAGCCCTAAGGGAGACCACGCACTGTCTCAAAACTAAGGAGCCTCTTTCTCCCCACAAGTACAGGGGAGAGAGACAACTACCAACGAATACAGTACAATCTGCCCTACCAACCTCTCTTCCCTCACTCCTCTCTCTGTGAACTTCTCCCAGACCTTGGGCCTCCTGCCCTTCCAGACAGGGCAGCCCTGTGGTGCCCTGCCCAGGCTCCCATCGGCTTCCTCCCAGGCGATCCAGGGAGACGATGACTCACTTATTCCATTTAATGCTGCCCCTCCACCCTGTCAACTGAGATCAAACGTCTGTCTCTAAGGTGGACAGACCTAATGGGAGTCCCCGGGGCCTCCAGAAGCAATTTGTAGGCGATCGATGAAATTGCGCGAAGCCTGCAAAGGCCTCTTCCAGCGGTGGCCTCCCCTTCTTGACTTTTGGTTCTGTTTATCTTTCTGTCTCTTTCCTCTTCTTGCCTGTATTTCAAACTGCCTGAATATTTCTCTTCCTTTATGCTTTATCTCTAGTTTTCTCTCACCCCCTTGGTTCTCTCTGAATTACAGGGATTTGTTTGAAATGAAAATGGCAATTTTAGCCATCCATTGCTTTTCTTTATGATTAATAAGACTTCATCAGGCTACCTGCTTTTCTTCCTTTTTCCCCTTGAGTGGGTGTCTTTTGTCCTTTCGTTTGTGTTTCAGTTTCTCTCTTGGCCTGCCGCTTTCTGTATCTGTGCCCCCTCTCTCTGGGGGCCTGCCTGGCTCCCTCCCCTCCACTCAGCCTCCGACTGCAGTAGGCCTTGGGAACACCAGTGCCCACCGTATTCCCTCTTTAGCTTTCGAGAGGTCTGAAACCACGTCCTCACCTCTTCCCCAGCGACAGGAATGTTGTGGGGGGAGGGAGAAGACTTTGGGGGCCAAGGCTTCCTTTGTGGCCCTAAGGCGGAATCCCGGGAGATTCCTCCCCTTCTTTCAGAAAAAGAGGAAACTCCAATTCCTTCCTCCTGGCCCCAAGGCCCGCGGGGCCGGCGCCCCGCCGCTGACTTCACCTAGGTTCCTGGTCTTCCCTACCGGGGAATAAGCTACAGGCTCTCGGCAGCAGCAGGAGCGGAACCAGTATGAGGGCCACATGTGGCGGAGGGTGCAGGGGTGCGGCCAGAGAAAGCGCTAGCATGTGGGGAGAATAAGGCTGTTCGGAGTGTGTGGGTCGCTTCGTGTCGGTGAGTGTAAGGGGAGGAGAAAATGAGAGAATTCGAGGCATATTCGTGGGGGGAAAGTGCGGAGTAACTAGTTTGGGATATGCGAGGGGAAAATGTCTGCTTTTCTCACACACCCCCATCTGCTCCTAATTGATTTCCCTTTCACTGGGATCCGCAAAACCCCGCCGCAGCCGGCGCGGATTGATTTTCCCCGCGCAGGGTGGGGACCGGCTGTGCAGAGGCCGGTGTCGGGGAAGGCGGCAGAAGGCAGGGCTCAGCCCACTGCCCGGACGTTCTGCCCAGAGCCCGGCTGGAGCGCGAAAACAAGGTGCAGGACATACTGCCTCCAATCTTGGGGCAGAGGACTCCACTGGCCCAAGTCTGCCTAAACAAAAAGCTCCCCGACCCAGTGAGCCCGGGACCTGGACTGTATGGCCTCGCTTATTTGCTCAAGAGGTGGAGACCAGCCGTGTCTTCATGGAACACAGCCTGCGCTGGCCAGAAAGGCCCCAAGCCTCCCGCAAAACAGAGCCCATCTCTCTGACCCCATTGGGCCTATCAGACTCGGTTGCTTCCAGCCCCCGGTGAGCCTAGCAGGAGCCGGCTCCTCCGAAACCATCGGAAACCGGCGAGCGGCGGGAGTGTGTGCGCCCCAAGAGAGGACGCGAGCCAGAGCTGCCTGAGCCGGGTCCGAGGCCCGCCCGCCCCTCCTGCTCACCTCCACTTCGTCCGCCGGTTCTGGAACCAGGTTTTGACCTGCGCGTCGGTCATTTTAAGCGCCTTAGCTAGGGCGGCACGCTCGGCCGAGGCCAGGTACTTCTGGCGGTGGAAGCGCTTCTCCAGCTCGCAGATCTGCAGGCGCGTGAAGGATGTACGCGGCTTCTTCTTCTTGGGGGGCGTCCGGTTCTGATAGGGGTGACCTATACGGCGTGTTACAGTGAAGGGTGAGAGGGCCACTGGAGCGGGAGACAGACAGACGGCAGAGGCAAGCGGCAGAGCGTCAGGAGGTGTCCCAGGCCCAACACCCCGCGAGTCAGCGAGCGCAGTGGCTGGACCCCGCAAGTGGGGCTGCTATCCTCTCATCTGTCCTCTGTGACGAACTAGCCAGCGGCGAAAAATGGCCCCCTCCCGCCTGCCAGGCCAAAGCTCCTACCACGGAGGTCTCCCTAGCCACCCCCTCACTCCTACCACGGAGGTCTCCCTAGCCACCCCCTCACGAGAGCCCAACTGTCTCTGGTTCTAGCCCCCGACCAGGAATAGTCTAAGAGGAGCTAATGGTCACAGTATTCCCTGATACTGGTCTCCAGACTCAAGAAGCAGTCCAACAGTGTGTGTTCCAAGGCCCTGACTCTCAGTCCTGACTTGAGCCTCCATCACACAACAGTACACATAGACACAGCACAAACTTACAGATCCTATACCCCCAAACAGGCTGACACACTTAGACCAGCACAGGCACTAGCACTGTACACTCGGCAGCACAGGGCGACAGCCATACACTCCCTCAGAGCCCCTTTCTTGCTTGAAACAGGATTAGGGCTTGCTGTGATTCCACCAGGTAGGCCCTATGCCGAGAACCTTTCATCAGAGACCCAGAAGTAGAGTGGGCTTCCGGCTGGGCATTCCAACAGAGCCCTTCAGGACTGACCTGGTCAAGGTAGGGAAGTGGGATGGGCACCAGGCTCTGCCTGTCCCATCCAGAGAGGACTTGGGTTGAAGCACTGGGGCCCTAGGAGTGAGAAAGCAGCTGTTCTTCCTCTAACCCCACTTCTGCCATGGCCCCAGAGTTTGGTTAGAGGTTTCAGGAGCAATTTCCCTGCTAGTACTTCCTGGGGTGACTTGGAGTCTCCTACCCCAGTGTCTAACTCCTACCTGCTTTTCCCACAGTGACTATGTGCACCCCTCTTCTAACGTTGGGCACTGGGTCCCAGCAGTCCGGCCTTGGGCTACAGCAGGCTGTGCCTCCTGCCACCCCTCTCTGAGGACCAGCTGGCTAACTCTGGCTTCCCGGAGGGGGTTGGAAATCTGGCCTGATCACAGTCTGGGATCTGAGGAATGGAAAGGGGCACAGAAAGTAGGGCTGGTAAAAGGGGACTACGGGAAATCAGGAGCTGAGTGCCCTACTGAGAGTGGAAACTGGAGCACAGGGAGCCAAGGAAGCGAAGGAAGTCAGGAAGGCGCGGAGCAGACAGCAGAGAGGGCGGCAGCCGGCCACCACCTTGTGCATAATCGTCCCAGGAGTAGTCCTCCCACCACGGATCGATTGCCAGCCCAGCCGGTGCATTATTCGGGCCAGAGATAAGAGATCTGATCCTGGGGGAGGACTCCGAGCCTGGACAGAATGAACATGAAGACCTAGCTGTCCCAGGCTGGCAGATTTGTACCGTAATGTCACCAACCCGGGCGAAGCCTGCCTTCTGAAAACAGGGCCCACCAGCTCTGTGGCTTTACCCAGGCTCCAGGCTCTGCCAGGAGTGAAGTGCGTGTATGTCGGGGACCAGAGGTGGGGGAGCCTGTTCTTTTTATTCTGGGGCTGCTGCCTCAGTCAAAGGACAGCAACCCCGATGGAAGAAACAGTTTGTTCACGTTGCACCCCTTTCTCAGAGATTCCTCTGCCCTACATGCAGGTAGAAGGAAGTCCTGAATCTACAGTCCCCTTTCCTCTGCCTGACCAGCCTCAGGGATCTAGAGAAGGGACCAGAGAAAGCGTCTCTGAACAGAGGTCCTGCAAGAGAAACAGAGGTGTCCAGTTTGGGAGAACTCAAGTATGGCGATTTGGGCGGGGAGCTGAACTTGTGGAAAGCACCAAGAGGAGCTGGGTGAGCTGGTGCACCAAAAGGGGATTCAGGGAACAACCGGGTAGGGGAGGGTAACACAGAGCCTAGGGTTCGGCCAGGCGGGGGACTGTGCGTAGGTTGTACTCACCTGTGAACCTGTCCTTTGTGTATCTGCGATTACTTTCCATCCAAGGGAAGGTGAGGCCAGTGAGGTTGTTGACGCCCGGCACCGCAGGCACAGAGGGCACGGTGGGCAAGCCAGTGGCCAGGGGCTGGGTGTGGGCCACGGCTCCGGCTAGTGGCCTGTGCGCTGGCACCCGGATAACCCCTGCAGCGCTCAGCGATCCTCCGCCACTGCTGCCGCCGCCGCCGCCGCCACCAGGGCCAGGACCGCCCGCCAAGGCCATGTTCACGTTGTAGGAGCCGGCCAGTGGACCCATGCTGCAGGCGCCGCCGCCACCGCCAGATGGGCCGCCTGGGCCGCCGGTACCGCCAGCACCATAGGCTCCGCCGCTCCCGGCCCCTGTCCCAGTCGCGGAGCTCCCGCCACCATAAGTGTAGGCGCCTCCGACCAAACAGCCCAGGCCGTATTCTCCGTCCTGGAGGCGCGAGGCGGGCCCCATACAGCCGCTCTGGTCCGGGCTGTTGAGGATCTGGTCGATGCCAAAGCTGATGGGCTCCGCGTGGCCTGGGTGGAGGTGGTGTGGACCCAGGTGCTCCATGCTGGCCCCGGCCCCACGGGGGGGCCCGGGCGGCGGCGTTCGCTGTGCTTGGCTCCTGGGGCAGCGAGCAGGGGCGCAGAGGCAACAGCGGCTCCTGGCTGCGCAGAGACTTGGAGGCTAAGTGCGCAGAAGGTCTAAAGTAGGGGGAGGGGAGGGAGAGAGGGGGCGTCGTATTCTTCCCCTCTCCGACTTCTCCTTTCCCTCTTCGGCTGTTCGCTCGCTGTTGACTCTGGGACATCAATCACCGGGCGAAAAAGCCCAGTGCGAGCGAGCTTCGCTGTTTTCGGCCGGGTCTCTTCATTGGCTGTGCGTGGAGAGGAGCGGGCTGAATGACAGAGCGGGGGAGGGGAGGGGAGGAGAGGAGAGGGAGAGAGGGAGGCCAGGAGTTGAGACAGATGCCGGAGCCAGAGACAGAGGGCCGGCAACCAAGGCTTGGATTAGTTCATAAAGAGAGAGAAGAGGGGAACAAGAGGCTTAAAAGGAAAAAGAAAGGGAACAGGAACTGGCCATTCCCAGCGATGAACAGACAGACCCCAGGAGGGAGAAATCAGAGCCCTCTTCCCCACCTGGCAGGAGCCACCCCCTCACTTTGAATTGGGCCAAAGGAGTCCAGCCCACTAGGCTTCTTAGGGAAGGGATGCCCCTGCCCAACTGGAGAATCTCCCCAAGGGCTCAGCTAGGAAACACCTGTCAGTCAACCAAGCGATTTACTCCAGACTTCAAGTCCAGCTTGTTAGAAAGTGGAAGACTGTCTACTCCCCAGGTATGGAGCTCAGGCCCTGAGGCAGGATGGTGAGTTCAGGCTTGTCCTTCTTTAAAATCCGGGCCCATGAACAACTAGCTATATGTTATTTTTATAAAAATCAACAAGCGCCCAGACTTAGGCTGTTTAGAGAAACCAATGAAGGGAAGGCTTCCTGAAGGACAAGCCCAAATCAGGGGCGTTTGTTTGGGGCCTGTTCCCTGGGTGCTGATGGCTCAAAATACCCCTTTCCTTTTAAATAAACAGATACATCAAGAAGCAATTCCTATAGTGTTTGAATGAATTCAACTAGATTGCTTGCCACCTTGCAACTAGCCCAGGGCTGGCTATTCCAGGCAGGAGCCTTTCTTTGGTGAGGGAAAGGAGTTATTGTCTTAATTTTGGAATCTTAGGAAGGAGAACTAAGGGCTTAAGGCAGTGGGGGGCTAGCACTGGTGGGAGTTGGATCTGGGAAGTGTATCCAGGACAAATTTAGGTCTTTTTGAAATTTTGCCTGTGGCTGCCTGGCTGAGCGCCCAAGAGAGCAGGGGAAAACTCCATTTTTCTGCTTCCTCTCTTTCCTTTCTCCAATAAGGAAAAGAATATTCCCTCTTAGGAGCTAAACTTCTGGAAAGGCACAGCTTCCACTACTTGGGATTATAGAAATATAGATCTATTTCAAGTTAGTTTCAGATTCAACCCTCAGAGAGGGCTTATCTCTACCAAGCAAAATTCTAGAATATGAAGGTTCACACTCTACTTATCAAGTCTCATTGCAATCTATTTGCTTTGGCCAACACTCTTTGAGATGAATATGATCTCTATTTTACAGATGTGAGGAAACAAAATTTCAGAGAGGCTATTTATGGTTGGTATAGGTCGAGATGGAGAAACTAGATATGACTCACTTTTTTTGTAGGTAAGCCTTGAAACTGGGCTGCTGGTTACAAGCTCCTCTGTATAGGGGAAAACCTTGTCTGAGCTCCAGTCAATTAGACAAAGGCCCACTCAAGACAAAGCTAGATGAGCAGTTGGTATTTGTTTGCAAACACTAAACAGAAACATCAGGAGAGAGCCTCACCCCCTTGCCAGTCTGCCCTCCACACCCACCCAATCCAGGTACTACACCCTATCCAGGAGGTCTCATTACTGATTTTGGAAGTTGTTTGAAACTGAACAAGTCTTTTTCCTGCCTTTTCTCTTGAGGGGACTAAAGCAGAAATGAATATAAACATTTGCTTAAAAACTGCTATGTGTCAGGTACCACATTATACCACAGCAACACTGAGAAGTTAATAGAAATGAATTAATTGAATGAACGTTCATGAGAATATTATTTATAATAGACCCTAGGGAGAAACAATTCAAATGTCCATCAACTGATGAAAGCATAAACCTAATGCATATATTTATACAATGAAATATTATTCAGCCATAAAAAGGAATAATAAGGAGGATGGGCACGGAGGTTCATGCCTGTAATCCTAGCACTGGAAGGCCGAGGCAGGTGGATTGCTTGAGCTCAGAAGTCTGAGACCATCTCTAAAAATAGCCAGGCATTGTGGTAGGTACCTATAGTCACAGCTACTTGGGAGGCTGAGGCAAGAAGATCACATGAGTCCAGGAGTTTGAATTTGATGTGAGCTATGATACACAGCATGGCACTCTACTGAGTTTCCAGGAGTTTGAGTTTGATTTTAGCTGTGATACACAACATGGCACTCTACTGAGGACGACAAAGTAAGACTCCCTCTCAAAAAAAGGAATTGGGGGGCAGTGCCTGTGGCTCAGAAGGGTAGAGCGCTGGCCCCATGTGCCAGAGATGGCAGGTTCAAACCTAGCCCTGGCCAAAAAAAAAAAGGAATTGGCTCGGCGCCTGTAGCTTAGTCTTTAGGGTGCTGGTGACATATACTGAGGCTGGAGGATTCAAACTCAGCACGGGGCCTGCTAAACAACAATGACAACAACAACAACAAAAAATAGCCAGGTGTTGTGGCAGGTGCCTGTAGTCCCAGCTACTAGGCCCCCAAGAGTTTGAGGTTGCTGTGAGCTGTGATGCCATGGCACTCTACCAAGGGTGACGTAGTGAGACTCTGTCTCAAGAAAAAAAAAAGGGAGTGCTGGTTCATGCTACAACATGGATGAACCTAGAACACTATTATGCTAGTAAAAGAAGCCAGGCACAGAGGGCCACATATTGTATGATTCCATTTATATGAAATGCTCCAACTAGGCCAATCTACAGAGGCAGAGAGTAGATTAGTGGTCATTAGGGGCTGAGGGTAGGAGGGAATGGGAATTGACTGCCAAGAGATGTAAATTTCTTTTGAGGTGATGAAAAGATTCTGTAATTAGATAGTAGTGATGGTTGTGCAACTTTGTGAAAATATTAAAAATCACATTGGAATTGTACATTTTAAAGGGATGATTATTTTGGTATGTGAATTTTATTTCAGTTTTTAAAAGAAAAAAATTGAGAAATAAGACTTAGTGAAAGGAATAAACTTGCCCAAAGTCCCACAAACAGAGAAGATTGATCCAGGATTCCAAAACCTGAACTATTTTCCCTGTATGAGGCCGAAAACTATAGGGAGGGGCACTGTAGTTTCCTTTGAGGCTGAGTCCCAGTGTTCCCACCGCAGTTTTGCCTGTTGCAGTTAACTTTCAAGCAACAGATTTCAAAAGGAAAGATTTAAGAGACAAGAAAGCATACCTACCATAAAACTTCATCTTTTTGGTAATCTTCAGAACAACTTCTCTTTGCCACTCTCTGGCCCTTGCAGTGAACCACTTGAGTATTCCTAATGCTGTTCCCCCTTCCCCCCTTATCACTCCTTCCCCTCCAGGTGCACCATTCTAGCTCCTAAGCTTCTCGACCTTGCCTGTTCCAACCCTTTTGGCACCTTCCTGACCCACTTCTTGAACTCAGATCTGGCACCAGTTGTCTAGGGTACCTGAGAGGAGGCTTCACCCTTATTGTCCCAACCTAAGGTTGGCAGAAGTCACAACTGCCCAGTGGCCCACTAAGTCTGTCAAGCTCTTCTAGTTAAAATTCAGCAAGCTAGGGACAGCCTGACTTTCCCTTGCCCTCACTACTGCTTGTTTAACTTTTTACTTACTTTCCCATCACCTTTCCTGCATATCAGAGTCAACTTTTTTCCCAATTCAATTTTGAGATGCTGGGGTTCTGTGAGTCTGCTTGACTTCAGTCTTTGTCTTCTAATAGGGTAGTGGCTGAGGGCCAGGGCTATCCTCTCCATATTCCTTTCTTTCCTAGAAAGATGAGGGTCAGGATTTGTTGGGCTCTACCCTCACCCCTTCTTCTGGAAGCAGCGTTACCTGGGCATAGTACCGCAGGTTGGAAAGTTTTCAGAAATACAGAAGACTCACACAGAGCTTTTTTTTTTTTTTTTTGAGACAGAGCCTCAAGCTGTCCCCCTGAGTAGAGTGCTGTGGCATTACAGCTCATAGCAACCTCCAACTCCTGGGCTCAAGTGAGTCTCTTGCCTCCGCCTCCCAAGTAGCTGGGACCACAGGCGCCTGCCACAACGCCCGGCTATTTTTTTTTTTGGTTGCCGCCGTCATTGTTGTTTTGGCAGGTCCGGGCTGGGGATTCAAACCCACCACCTTAGGTGTACGTGGCTGGCGCCTTAGCCGGTTGAGCTATAGGCGCCGAGCCACACAGAGCTTATATTCAGTTTCTACAGTACTTTTGCATGCCTTGCAGAGTATCCCTGTTAAAGCAGAGCTTACAAAGCATCTGCAATGTCCTATGCACCTTTAATCACAGTAATTCTCTCTCCTCTCTTCCTCCAATAATCTTATGATGTGGATTTTGTTATCTCCATTTTACAGATGAGAAAACCGAGGCACTAAAGGCTGGAAAGGAGCAAAGACTGTACTTAAATGCTACTTTTCTGACTCTACTCATTACACGCTGCTTTTTCAATCCTTAACTTGGCTCTTGCCTTAAAGGATTGTATGAACCTAGGTGAGTTGCAGACCCTTCTCTCTAGGCCTGAGGCCACCTGGTAATAACCCTCCCCTAAACATGATCTCTGCTTGACTGCAGAATAAAGAAGAGCCTCCAATTAAAAGAAGAGCAGCTGGGGCTGGGGCAGGGGGAGGAGGAAAGGAAAGGCTTGGCCCAGAGGGAGGCCCCTTTGGATCCCACATGGTCCCCTCCCCCTCTTTGGGAGCAACACTCCCCCCAGTTTGTCCTTTTAGCTTAGGGGTATGTGTGGAAACATAATTACTTTGTGTTTGTGGGACTGTGTGTCCACAAGGGGAAAGCCAGATGTGAAAGCCTTCGTGACAGTGAGGGCTGAGAGGGTTATGCAGATGTCTTGGGCATATCTTTAGGAAATTTCAAAATTTATTGAATGAACATTTATTGAGTGCTTAGTATGTATCAGGCACTGTGTTAGGCTGTCAGGATATAACTGCAAGCAAAATGCATGTCAGTAAGAATGTTGGCAGACTAGAAGGGAGTCTGGGTGATTTTTATAACCGGATTTGTCCTGGGAGAATGTGCA